AGAGAGAGAGAGAGAGAGAGAGAGAGAGAGAGAGAGAGAGAGAAAGAGAGAGAGAGAGAGATTGAATGGCAAAATTGAAATATGGGTCAAATTGCGGTCGCGATCTATTTTGCAGTTGAAATATATATTTTTAATTTATTTAGCGTTTTTCGTGGAAAGATCACAACAAAATCTACGAGTACTACAATTTTCAGGTTTTTTCACTCATTCTTCTGAGTGTGAAAACTCACTGAATTTGGAGTACTTTTTTAGTTGGCCCAGGCATGGCTGAGTGGCAAAAATGGAAAATGTGCCGAATCGGCGCGACGATTATTTCGCAGTGTAAATGATTTTTTGTAAATGTTCTATTATTATTTCTGGAAATAACACGACCTCACCTGTGGATTTTCAAAATTTCAGATTTTTGTGCGTGTTCGTCCGAGCACAGAAAATCGCCAAAGTTGCCTCTTGCAAAACGCCTATTTCGTTGTGCCTGACCTCCCTGTTTTGAGAGGACGGGGCTCAATGCCTGGGCCTGAGGGCCCTTTTGCAGTTCACATGCCCTCACTTCTTTTTGGGGTCCGCTTCTACCCGGGACCGGGCCAACGCCCCCCACTTCTTTTCGGGGTCCACTTCCACCCGAGGACCGGTCCTTCCTTTTTCCAAAAGTCCCGGTTCTACCAGAGCTAGCTGTCGGTAGATGGTCGTTTTTTTTGTTTTTTGTTTTTGTATTGTGTGTATCTTACCTGTGCAGGCGGACAGGTGTGCAGAGCATTTCAGCCTTTTTGGATTCGGGTGTGCGGCCTGCACCTGCTGGCGGAACAGTTGCCGTGCTACTCTCCGTGCAAAATGGCTTTCTTTGTTTTTTTTTCTTAGTTTTTTTTTTTTTTACCTTGGAATTTCATTCCAAACGCGCCCAGTTGAGACTGAATCCTTCGTTAGAACATGGAAAGATACATCGCCATCTTCCTTTTTTTTTTTTTTTTTTTTTACATTGGAATTGGGCTGGTCGCCGGGCCATCGCCGTCCTGGGGCGAGGTCCCACTAGCAAAGAGGATTGGATTGAACACCCGAATCTCGACTCGTTTGTGGAAAGGTGCAGAATGTCGAGATTGAACTGCTTTTCGGCATCGCTGCGGTAAAACACGTCCAGATGCAGGATATTTATCCAACCCACTTTGCTAATGGGACCTCGCCCCTGGCTGCGCCGCCACGCCCTAGCGTGGTATCAGTAGTGTAGTGGTGGGATCAGACCCTTACAAAAGAAAAAAAAAACGTTCTGAAGTCGTCGGAATGCACGTGGTCCAGAAAGCGTCCAATTGCATGTAGAGCGTTGTGTAGTGGAGCGACGCCCATTCGCCGAGAATTGGGGCGAGCCCATCAGTTTCCTGTACAGGATGCATGCGGCATGACACAGATCGAGCCGCACACGACACCAACGGATCGATTCCGACCATGTCGATATCCGGAAAGACGGGAGACCTTGGCACGTGTCTTCCCGATGTCGCACGTGACCGACGGAAAAATCTCGATCTGGAAAACACCCGAGTAAGGCGTGAGGGTTCAAGCAGAACCTGGTAGGCCCACGCTCAACTTGGTGTCGGTGGTGTGTTTGTGTGTGTCACACAAACGAGAGAGAGAGAGAGAGAAAATGGGGCCCATTGTGCGACACGTGGCGCGTGCAGGATTGGCTCGATGTAGTGCGCTCCCGCAGGCATGGAGAGTGGTGTCGTCGGGCGACGGGATCGCGACGCGGCGGCCGCAAGGTGAGATCCAACGGCTAGTAAATTCACACTTGTCGGCAGCGCCGTCGAGAGGTGGACACGTCAGCACGGCCAAGGCAAGGAACGACGGCGATGGCGGGCTCGGTCCACGTGTGCAGTGTACGTCCAGTGCATCGACGGATGTTCAAGCTCTTGATAGACAATTGGGGGAGGGGGCTGGAGGGCCAAGAGGGAGGAAATGTGGGGATGGTAATGAAAAAAAGCTACTGGCTATGGAGGCAGTCGTCGATGACATGCCACGTGGAAGCCGTGGGTCGATTTCTAGGGTTTCTGGCGGCAGGACCATCTCTTCAATGGCAATGACGTGTCGTTCTTCTCCTCCTCTTTCTGGAAATACTTTCCCATCTTCGAGACCCTCCTCGTCGGGGGTAATCGACGTTTCCTGGGGGAAATTTCTGGGCGCTACATATACCGTAATCAATAATGGCGGGAAATTTCTTGGCGCCACACATGCCATCATCAATAATGGCGGGAATACCACGTCAGCATCGACGGCGTCATCGCCATCGATGTCTTTGCCGGAGGAGGGGACGGCGGGGATGCCACGTGGAAGAGGAGCAGCAGCTGCGACAGCAACGTGGATGTCAGGAGGAGCTATGAGGAGGAGGAGAACCAGAGGCGTGTTGACGTCAACAGCGCGATGCACGCAAGTGCACCAAGGAATGGCGATGGCGAGAAAGTTCTTGTCCACGTCATCGTCGACGTCATCGTCGGCGAAGATAGACGACTCGGCCAGTCGCGCAATGGCTGGGCAGGGGAGTAATGAGGAGGAGAGGTCTCTTAAAGAGACTGGCGATGGTGGAACGAACACGGGAAGTGGTGATTGGTCGGGAGCGCAGCAGATCGGAGGGATAGGAGGAGGAGGAGGAGGAGGGGAAGGGGGAGGAGGAGGGGAAGGGGGAGGAGGAGTAGGGTATAGAGGACGTCGAAAGTATGGAGGCATGGGAGCAAAAAGGGAAATCAGCGGCGCCGCTGATCGAGCGGAGAGAGAGGGAATTAGTGAAGGTGCTGCCGATGGTGAAGATTTGAAGAGAGCGGAGAAAGTGACATCGTCGGTAGAAGAGTCTGTTGGAGGTGGGGGAGGGGGGGGAGGAGGAGGAAGAGAGGGAGGTGGAGAAGAGGGAGGAGGAGCAGGAGGTGTTGACGCACACGGAGAAGACGCAGTGGAAGTCAAAGTGCTGAAAATTGCTTTGGAAAAACATGTGGTAGGTATTAAAATAATGTTTTGGTCTTGTTTTTTGCTTCCGTTTTTTTTTTTTTTGTGTTTTCTTTTTCTGAATCGGATGGTGAAGGTTTGTTTTGCTCCTCCTCCTCCTCCTTCCCCTCCCCGTAACGCCCCGAAAAGAAATATGCCATGGGCTGCGCTCCTCTGCTCACCACGAGCACAAAAGACAAAAAATATGGCGATGACCTTTCCATTGTTCTAGCGGAAGATTCATACTCAATTTGCACTTTTGGCGAGTAGTGGAGCGATGCCCCATTTCTTGTTTTATGTTCGTCATTCTGCGCAGATGCTTTGGTATGTTTTTTCTCCCTCTGTATCGTTGCAGGTTTTTCCTCCCTCACACACACACACACACACACAGACACAAAATTAAAAATAAAAAATAAAAAAATCCATCAGTCAAATTCATCCTGGGCAAACCGTCGGGGTTCAACCTCCTGATGAGTCGGTGAAAGTCCGACGAAACAATCCTGCTTTTCTTTCAGGGAGCTGTGTATAGCGAGTATGACAGCACACACTCACACACTCACACACTCACACACTCACACACTCACAAACTCATACAGTCGCACACTCGATACAGTCACACACTCATGCAGTCACACACTCATACAGTGTCACACACACGCACTCAGACAAACGGTATCATTCCGGTCTTCCCCACGCCCGGACTGTCTACCTTTTCGCAAGCTCCACCCAACCCTCCCCCCCCCTTCTTCCCCCCCCCTTCGTTACTTTCCCGCTTGGCTTTGTCAGGCAGTCGTTGATTTTATTGTAGTATTTAAAAGACATGCTGAAAAGTATGTCATTTCATTTTTTGTATCTATAAGGTTCGGTTATGGTGGTGACGTGATCATCCGCCAAAATGACACTCTCGATGTTCCCCTCGAAAAAAAAAAGAGCAGCTACTTAAAAAACGTGTACCATGACAGAAAGAAAAAGCACAAGTGGACAAAGAAATTGAAGAAACACGAGGAGAAATGAAGACATGGGCTGCACGTTGGCTGGAAGTGGTGCGGTAAACGTGTAAGAAAAGGAGGGAAAAAAAAACAGAAAAAATGGAGGGGTGGGAGAAGGAGGTGATCATTCTGGCGACATGATTTGAGACGCAGTTCCTGATGAAGGAATGGGCAAAAAGATTAAAAAAAAAAGAATACATAAAAAAAGAGAAAAAAAAAGAGGAAAGAACGCAAGAGATAAAAAGAAAGGCAATTTATTTGTGTTCTGCAATGGGAATTTTTTTTTTTTTCCCCCCGCTGCTTCAGGCAATGCGCACACTACGGACCTTTTCAACGGATCTCTGGACGTAATTGCGGCCAGATACATCCTGATCTCACCGTAAAAAAAAAACAGTCAGATACATGCTGGATGGTTCTAAGATGAGTGTGGCTTCGGGCCTCGCTCCACTTACTCTCCGTTCTCCAATTGTCGACAGTGGAGGGTTCCTCCACTTAGGGCCTCGCTCCAGTCACTACTACTCACCAAATGTGCAGAGACGGAGAATGAATCTTCCGCTAGAACATGGAAAGACACATCGCCATATTTTTTGCCTTTTGTGCATGTAGTCAGTAGTGGAGCGAGGCCCTTACTACTCTCGACCCCTCCACTCTCGAAAATTGATCTAGAGATTAAAACTTAAATAAAATAAAAAGATCGAGTGCATCGTGAATGCCCGTCGAGAGGAATTAAATTTTGTGCATTATTTATTTTTCAACCGCTCGATCAACACAAATCGCAGCCTGCTGCCGAGGGTTCTCTCGGGGACCCTCGACTCCACTCTCGAAAATTGATCTAGAGATTAAAACTTAAATAAAATAAAAAGATCGAGTGCATCGTGAATGCCCGTTGAGAGGAATTAAATTTTGTGCATTATTTATTTTTCAACCGCTCGATCAACACAAATCGCAGCCTGCAGCCGAGGGTTCTCTCGGGGACCCTCGAATCCGGACTTGAAATAGAGAGTAGTTAGTTCTTTTCTTTATTATTATTATTATTATTTATTATTATTTATTTTTCGGCGTTTTCTGTTGGAAAAAAATGAAAACAAAAAGAAGAAGAACGGCAAGTTCTTTTCTTTATTATTATTATTATTTATTATTATTATTATTTTATTTCGGCGTTTTCTGTTGGAAAAAAATGAAAACAAGAAGAAGAACGGCAAGTTCTTTTCTTTATTATTATTATTAATTATTAATTATTATTTTTTTATTTCATCGTTTTCTGTTGGAAAAAAATGAAAACAAAAAGAAGAAGAATGGCAAGTATTCTTTGCCTCTTTGGATGGAGAATACAGATCGCGATCGCCACTTGAGTTTAATTTTATTTTGTTGGATTATTTTCCTTCTGACCACTACTTAATTTAACGACATGTTTTTTTTGTTTTCTGGCGATCTTAACGATTATGTTCTTTAAGTAAAGGTAATACATTTATTATGGACTGCAATATTGAGCATATATATTTATTATGGGCTCCATTTGTTGCTCTATCTCATGTTTGCAGACTAACAAGGCCTCCTTGGGTTGGTTGCCCTCATTGGAACTTTTTCTTTCGGATCAGCAGAGCCCGGACAAGGGCCAGACAAGGTCCATGCAAAAAAAAAAAGGAAAAAAAAAAATTCTAAAAAAAATCTGAAAAGAAGTATGTTATGCCTGGCCCCTGCAAAAAAAAAAATAAAAAAAAAATCTGGAAAAACACTATAATAAACTCAGCTTTCAATTCAGGGTCACGCGCTCACACTGAAATTCATGACCAAGTCGGATTATTATTATTATTATTATTAGGCCCGGCCGGGTAAGTGGTCCCGGGGTCACTCTGGTATCCCCATTTTTTGGGACTATTTTCTGACATTTTGATTGATTGTCGTTTTTTGTGGTTATCTTGTGGCTCTCTTTTTTTTTTTTTTTTTTTTCCCTTTGTGACTATTTGCTGTTGTCTATTGCTCCTGGCCTTTAGTCCACCTTGGGTTGGTCTGAGGCGGCGCTAACGGCGGCGCTAACGGACGCAGGGCTGTCGCCAGCGGCTATTGGGATTCTCCCGCGTCGAGAGGCAATGCTTGTGGAGGTGAGAGTAAAGGAGTTTTTTTTTCCGTTCTTTTTTTCTTTTTTTCCTTTTCCTTTCTTTTTAATTATTATTTAGTAATAAAGGTCCAGGGGCAAGATTCCACAAGCAGGGAATAATGGCACGTGCGGTCTCTGTGGGACGTCTAGGAAAGCGAAAAAGAAATAAACAAAGCCCCTGAAGTCTCTTCAATCATCGTTCTTCTCTGCTCGACCATCACACGGAGGGCAGAACTCACACCTGCACTTCCTGAATGTATTTGCCCGGAATTACGGCCAAACTGGATGAATCTGACCGCAATCACGTCCAGAGCTCTAATGTTGCAATGAACCTCTTAGTTCAACACCGGTGCGCGCACACAATCACAGCACATTCATGTATGAGATCACACGAAGTTCACACTGGAGACCAGAGAGATTAAGACCAGGTAGCGCAGCTGACGAGTTCCAGGTCACCAGCGCTCATCAGCGCATGACAAAGGTAACCCATAACCAGCATAAGCTCTCAAGTAAGTATCCGTTCTCCCACTGCTCTTCTCTTTTATGTATCTCCCTTCCTTACTGATCTTGTCTTCTCCCTAGCTATGTCCTCACGGTGTCTTCTCTTCCTACTTGGGTCCACACACACACTAGCTTCTACTCAAAGATCTACTCTGAATACACCCACTGATATACGTACTAACTGTCTGAAGTCTTCTACTAACACTCTGCACTGGCGCAGCTATGGCTGCCTTCTCCCTGCCAGCTCTAATACTTCCTCTCTCCCTCTCTCTCTCTCTCTTAGCGCAGCACTCTGGCTTCAGCGCTCTGCCCCTCACTACAGCGCTCAAGTACACCAGCACTTCCACACTTCCTTGCCAATTAGCAATCTGCCCCTTTGGTAGGCTGGCCAGTCCTTTTGTAGTCTTGGATTGCACTTCAACTCGTGCCAGCCTCTGCTTCTGAATCTGCCTGTGTTCCGGTACCACATTCCCACGGCCTGTCTGCTTCTGAATGTCAAGGTCTTGAACCTTCCCGAATTACCATTGGTCTGCTGCTGCTTGGGCCTTTGAGTCATCACTTTTCGATTTTGGCATATGGTTTTTTGACTGTGCACTGTGACTCCTGCCTCTGGGACACGACTCTTGCCTATAGGACTGCCCTTTCACTCGTGGGATGTGACTCTTCAACATGACTTTGCGTTATGCGCTGAGATGTGACTTCTGTCCCTGAGACTTTGCATTATGCGCTGAGATGTGACTTTTCGATGTGACTTCTGTCCCTCAGGGCATCGTCACACCACTCTCGAAATGTGCAAAATGAGAATGAACTTCCTGCTAAGACATGGCCAGATGCACCGCCATAATTTTGTCATTTTCACATTTCGAGAGTGGTGTGGCGAGGCCCTGAGATGTGACAGTTTGCTGGGTGCCTGTTGGATGGACTAGACTGCTGAGGTACCCGACTGTGACTTTTCTGACTGCTGAGGTACCCGACTGTGACTTTTCTGAATTTGACGAACTCGGCCTCTCTTGACCAGGGCCTCTGACCCTGAGATCCGATTTTGGGGGTCTGTCTGAATTGTGGAAGGCCTTTAAATGTAGCTTGATGGTCTTTTTGTCCTTTCTCTGCGGTACAGAGCATCTTAGTCAGTCGTTTGCTCTGCTCTGCTCTGGGGTCGAGGGGACACTGTATAGAACGGTTTGTTGGAAGTGTCTTTTCTCATTCCCATTTTTCGAATTTCTTTCCAACATACCGTTCAATAATTTCAACCCCCTCTGTTTTTTCCTTTTTTCAGATTAGAACGAGGGGGGGGGGGGGCTATTATTGACGGTGCCAAATTTGGGGTCACGGGCAGCCCTCTGGAGTACCTTATTATTTTTCTTTTGGAAGGGACGAATCAGAAACGGTTTTCACCTTTCTGCAGTCACAGATGCGGGCCCTAGCGTTCGATCCCCAGACCTCACTTTGCCCATGTACAGTATTGAGTCGACCCCGAGTGTTTGAACCCGTGATCTGTGTTTTGGTAGTTGTTTGTCGTCTGTCGTAGGTCTGTGTAGCGGTAGGGGTTTGATCTGTAGGTCTGTCGATTAGGAGTCACAGCTCTGTAGAGGTCGTGGCTGTAGACGCTCTGAACGGTCAAGGTCGTAGCTGCTACAGTCCTGAAAGGTCAAGGCCGTAGCTGCTACAGTACCCGAAAGGCCAAGTCCACAGCCTTCCGGAAGGTCCGGAAGTGGCCTTTCGAAGTGTCTCACGTTTCGTCAGAGGCAAGTGGGCAAGTGGGGAGCCAACTGCGCTACATTGGCAGTGCGACTGCATCGAGTTGGCAGTGCAAACCCATGCAGTCAGCAGCACCGGTCCCAGTCAGTCAAGAGTCCAGTCAAGCAAGTACCGTGTGGGACTGTGTGCACCAAGGGCCCGGTGGAACAGGGGCAGACCGATGAGTTACAGAAGTATAAATCAAGAGGCAGCGCCCATCCATTCATTCATTCGCTGCGTAAGCCATGTGGAAGCGCTGCTACAGCATCTTGTGCGAAGGTGGTCTGCATGTTGCCCGAAGACGAAGTGGGCTGAAGAGAGATAACGTAGCCATAGTCAGTAGTGGTAGTGCGGCCATAGCCGCTGCAGGAGGAAGTGAGACTAAGCGTGTGTGTGTGGTGGTATTCAGGGTGATCCAGAGTGAGCGTGTGTGAACAGTGGGGTTGGACACAGTGACGAAGGTTGGGATGTTCAGGCGCTGATGCGCCGTAGCCTGTTGAAGAGAACTTGCATCTGAACTGTGTTCTTGATTTCCATATCTCTAAGCTTTGAGTGGGCGCCCTGCGCCAGTGTGAATCTCCATCTGTTTGCATGCGTGCGAAGTGGAAAGAAAGCGAGTCTGATTGCAAATCAAAGTCCGTGAAAAGAATTCGTCTTCTCATTTTTTTTTGTGTTATTCAAAAAAGGAAAACACAGAAAGGAAAACTAACATAAAGAGGTGCATCACAATTCTTGCTGCCATGCGATCTGCCATCATCACCAACGGTTGTGCAGTGTCACACTCATGCTCATCTTGCAACGCTTATATCTTACCCTCCTGCTAGTGGAACCGTGCCCCAGGGTGTAGTAACCTTTTCTTTTCTAGGACGGACTGTCTTTTTTTCTTTTTTTTTCCTTTGTGTAAAACTAATCTAGATTCTTCTCTCAATTTCATCTTACGCTGCCTACCTACTACCCCTCCTAATCAAAGTATTACGGGGAATCGCATAGCATTGACAACGGTGTATACGAGAGAACATGCGGGAGCTGCACCCGGCCTGCAGGTGGGCGATATCGGCCAGGGGACAGCCGGTAGCATCAGGGACCATGCCAACAGGACCAATCCCTGTGCCTCCCCTCTGGTGGTGGTCCCCTCCACTATGAACATCAGCAGTCTCTGCTCGATGCCCATTGGGGGATCCAGTGGTCTATCTCTAGGTGGGGGGTGCCAAGCATGCCCAGGAAGGTACATGAGGCCAATGGGGATTCAACCCAAGGCTTCCTGAATGCCGCTTGCGAGCCTTACCTACTGATCTGTTTGCATTGTGCTAGAGAATGAAAAGCAGGGTGGTTGCCGATGAATTGAAGCAGGCTTGTGAGAGAGGAAGAAGCACTCGAGAATGCTTTCAACTCTCAGAGATGAGCACTACAGTCTTCACCCGAAAAGAGCGTAGTACTGTTATCATCGCTGTATCTAGACTGAAAATTACCCCATATACAGTATAATGACCAGGCGGTCTATGTGGGTGAACACGGCAGTAAGAAGGCGAAGAATAACAGGAATGAACAGATCGAGCGGACGATCGATGGCCTTCTGAAGGTGCGCAAAGTAAGAGGCTGAGAGCATACTCGCACTAGGGTTTTCGGAATAAGCTCTGGACGTAATCACTGTCAGATACATCCAGGTCATTGTAGAATTCAGGTCAGGTACATCCACTCAAGCACTCGTGTGAATATGCCATGAGACTTGCAGACCTAACGAGTTAGCAAAAGATGGGGGGAGAGAAAAGGGGGAGAAAAAGGAAGGAGAGGAGGGNGGGGGGGGGGAGAGAGAAGGGTGTAATTTTTCAACTTTTAACTGAAGAAACCTGTTTTGCTTTTTGTTTTTTTCCCCCCCTTCTCCTCCGGTTTTTTGTTGTTGTTCTGTTCCTGATTCACAGCCCACAGGGGACCAACACAGATGCCAGTAGTGTGTCAAAGGTTCAAGAAAGAAAAACAAAATAGATATATAATATTATATATATAAATAATATAATAATATATTATTTTTATATTAAAAAAAGCTGTTGGTTTTTTGTTGAGGTTGTGGAGGTGGAGGTCATTAACTTCACCCTTTGGAAAATTTGGTGGCAGTTCTTTATGGATCAATGTTCTGATAGGTTTGCAGAGCAAGTTGCGCGCCGATCAGAGGAGCTGTCGCGCATGGTTCTCAGGGACCGAATTTCAACTCTTGTCAGGATGCGACTAGAGATGCAGGGACCGCTCATTTCGACATGGCCGCAGGCACTCAGCATTCAGGTGTGTCTTTTTCTTCTTCTTCTTCTTTTGACTAACCCGGATTAAGCTTCTTCTCCAAAACCTTTGTTTTTTTTTTTGTCTACTAGAGGGGTTGATAAGAGCAGCCGCCTCTAGTAGCTGTCCCTGCTTCTACACAGGACCGAGTGGTGGCGGGCTCGCTCGAGGAAGGAAATTCAAACCACTGGCATCATCGACGATGGCCACCGCCATAGGTCTTCGTCAACACGAAAGACGACAAGAAGATACCACCCACGGCGTCGGTTCCACACCGGAACCGCCTGCCACCATATGTCAGGCCTGCCAAAGGGTAATAACTTATAAGCGGCACTAGGGCCCCTCGCTAACGCGCCAACCGGAGCTGCTATTGGCTTTTTTGCAGTTGGCTCTTATCTGGCAATTGGCTATCTTCCTGTTACATACACCACGCTTTGTCCACTTGTGCCAGATCAATGCTTGTCTTTTAAGTGTGAACTTGGGAGTTTTTTCTTTTCCCCACCCACTTAAACGACCACCAGCATCTTCACCGCTCAGGGACCGAATTTCAGTTCTTGTGCAGATGGGACTGCAGCGGCACCTCGGACTTCGGAATACAGTTCAATACACACATTTTGTCTCTCTTTACCTCGTTGTGGTGTTTTCTTTTTTTTCCTTCTTGTGCAGGGGCCATGCTACTCTTCTTTGTATCGTTCCAGTTTAACGGATGTTCCAAAGGACTACCTGGTTGTGGCCTCCTTCTGCTTGTCCCTTTGAAAAAGAAAAAGGGAAAAAATAAGTTTTGCCTTTCATGGTGAGCTGAGCTGTGTGGGTGTGTTTGTGTTTGTGTGTGTGTGTGTGTGTGTGTGTGTGTGTGTGTGTGTGAGACGACTTTGTGTGCCGTTTGTTTGTTTGCTTGACCAGGCTCGTCCGCCGAATATTCCAACCGCTTTGAAACAGCGGTCACTACTTATCCGTGACATCTTGGTGGCTGCGGGCGAGAAGTCCTTTGACATAACATGGTATGCAAAGCAAGCATCACTTGGAGCACTGTACACAGCTTCAGAGCTCTACATGCTCACAGATTTTTCCCCAGGTCAGTTCGCGTCAGTTCCTCCCGTCTCTTCCTCCCTTCCCTTCCCCTCTCCTCCATTCCCTTCATTCCCTTTCTTCCGCCGTCTTCTTCTCTTTTCTCTCTTTCTCCCCTATACCAACTAAAACTCTCTCTCTCTCTCTCTCTCTCTCTCTCTCTCTCTCTCTCTCTC